GCATGTTGTAATTAAAAAAAAGTAAAAAATAAAAACTATAAAGATAAAAATAGTATACAATATATATAGTTTTTAACGACTTAAAATTATTTCTAAAAATATTTTCAATAATGCCAATAGTTTTAGAAATAATGAGTGTCGCGTTAAATGGTTAATGGACCACCTAGAATATTATACTGTACTTGGTGTATTTAATAATTTAGCTCTTAAAAAAATATCATGTGACGTTCTTTAATACATTACATTTTTCAATGTGAGAGCTGGTAAGGGGGCTGGACCTTTTTTAGGAAGGGTTAAAGCCCTCCCTAGCACCCCCTTACCACCATGCCTGAGTATAGTATAAGATAATAAGTTGTATAATCTGTAAAATATTATACACAAAAATGTCATGGAATTGGAATTAAAATTGCATATCTATTTTTCACCAATATAATACAATATTATTATTTGCATTTTACAATAAAACATATACAAAAGTTTAAAACGAATATTAACACAAACTGAAATTTTCAAACTTTAAATATAAAAACGTTAAGACTATTTTTCAATGTATTTATTTTCTTAATGTATTGAATTCTGAAGTAATGATTATAAACGAAATTATAAGTCATTTCAACGACTCTATAAAATAATTGGAGCATAAGACGAAAACAAGAAATAATGTTTATTCAGTGTCTTAAATTGAATTTAAAATATAAAATATACTTCTCTCGAAAATGTTAAGTATAAAAAAAAAACCAAACAGGATACGCCGACTGCGTGTTTCCGCGTCTTAGTCTTCTCACTTCTCTCTCATCTGCGTAAGATGGTATTATATTGTGATATTAAATTTTAATGCAACGATGAATCATCGAATTCAAGAACGATTGTGGCCAGAGCTAGGTCAAACACATATTTTGTCAAACATTTACGTGGGTGCTCTTCAGTGTTTAGAAATTATCGAGACAATTAAAAAATAAAAAATCATCTGTTTAAAGTATAGGTACTCTAACGTAATATACTAGGTATTTAAATACATTTTCATGAAACTTTTAGAGCACACTTTTTTCCATAATGACCTGAATAATAATCACTACAAATTATTATAAATATCTTAAAATATTTTGTGAATTGTTAACATTTTTATAATATATTGCAACATTAATAAATTCCTGAATTTTAACCAAAACCTATAACTTAAAAAACATTATTTTAGTTTTTAAAACCACTTTAATAATTAGAATCTATGTACAATGCTATGATAAAAAAAAGAGCCGGAAACCTTACTTCAACATCAACATACTGACAGATACTATTATAACAGATACTGTTATTCAAAATAAAAACAGAAATCATGATACCTAATTAGATAGCTAACCTGGGTATCCAAAACCAAATGTGCGTAAAATACCATACAAAATTAAAAAATCATTATGAAAATATTAAAAATTAAATTAGTACAGCTTGGTTATACATTGACCATATAAATTTTGTGTATTATTTGGGTTTATTTGTTGCACATAATTTCTAAAATTGTGTACAAAATATTTTTCATAATCTATAGCACAAAGAAAATTCCCAGTACCTATATTGTATAGTATAATATATATGTACCAGGTGGTCCATGACACTCATTATTTTTAAAAATATTAGCGTTATGAAAAATATTATTGTTAGTATATTTAGTATCTCTTAAAACATTTTTGGAGGTTATTCCAATACAGGAATTAATATAATACCTATATTGATTGGTTAAAAATAATAAGAAAAAATTATTATTTTGTGAAAAGACTAAAAAGTCAAAGGGTCAAGTCAAAGTCATTCATCTTAGATAGCTTAGAAATTCTTCTAAGAGTGTTTTTAAGAAGACTGAATTCAATATCCTTTGTTTAGTTTTCTATTACAAGGTGTAAATAACTTGAAAACATTTTGTAAAGTTAATAAAAATCGAGAGCTCATATTATATTTTTTATAAAAACAGATAAAAGCATTTCAGAAATTGTTCATAATATATTGTATTTCTACTATTTTATTACACTAAAATAAAAATATTATCTTGTTATTTTAATACTAAATGATAATATAAAATATAATTGTTTAAATAAATTGTTAAAAAGGTGCTCTGCTGTACAGTAGGTCACAAGTGGGTCACTGTATAATGTATGGTATTAAATTTGAATTTAATGATATAATATCATTGCATAAGAAAAACGATTCTGAGCGGAGACGGTATGTCCTTCTAGGTATAAGAGATATTATATACTTATCTATGGTATTAAAAAAAATTGACCTATAATAAATTCCAAATTAATCATATCACAATATCCATTAGGTACTTATAACGCGTTATACATCAATAACAAACCGTGATACTATCATAGATACATAGTAGTATACTTAAAAAGATTCAAGTACCCACAAATAATATTATACAATCCCAACAAAATTACTAAAATAGTTATTCTAGGTTTTTTAAGATGTAATTTCTTCCAAATTTGTACTTAAAATGACTATAAAAATAAACTGTCCTTCTGTATTTTTTAGATTTTTTGGTAACAGAATTAACTACTTTACGTGGAATCTTGTTTTAAATTTTCAATCCTTAGATATTAAAGTTGAACATTTTATACATTTTTAACTACACAATAATTATTCAATTTAAAATTTGATAAATTTTTTCAAAATTCGATCTTTAAATGCTTATAAAAAAAAAATTGTGGCAATGTATTTTTAATATTTTTCAACTGCTATTGTAACAATATATCAGGAGCCTTGTATTAAATTTTTACACTTTTTGGCCCAACAAATAAAACTTTATTCATATTCATAGAAAATTTTATCACGTATAAGAATCCATAAAATAAACATTCAGTGAAATTTTCATGTATTTACAGTTATTCGTTTTTGAATCACAACAAAATAAGAAAATCGCTACATGAGAAATCGAGTGAATATCCAATGTTGTAAAAATTTGAATTTCAAACTCTCATAAAATATAGTCCAGTAAAATTAGATCAAAAATCAACAAAGATCGGAAAAATTTCGCCCCCAACTGAATTTTGGTATACACTTAAAATGTACCTTCCCAATTGACATACTAAAAGTCCTGACGCCTAACCCCTGTGCGTATCTCTCCACCCCCCCAAAAGGGGTGAAATCTACCCTCCCACTATTTTTCTTATAACTCGTTAACCATTGAACTCACGACAAAAAAGTATAGGACCAAAATTAAAGACCGTAAAATTTACTATAAGAATATAATATTGTAATCACTACAATTTTAACGTGGTAGTTTTAAGTAAACTTTTTTTAAAATTTTTTCTGCAAAAATTCTAGAATTAAGTAGTACCTACTAGTATAATAATCTAATAAATAATAATATTGTAACTGTAAAGACATTTCATAAAAGTTGTATTTATAACTGAACTTATCTTGTAAACATTTAAGAATGCAAAATATTATAATATTATGGTAAATATAATAGTCTTTAATTTTAGTTCTATATTTTGGTCGTCAGTACCAAGGATAGTGATTTATAAGTAAAAGCATTGTAAAACCACCCTTTTGAAGGCGGGGGGGGGGGGTTAGAAGGGTAAGCACGAAGGGTAAGCGTCAGAACATTAAGTATGATCATTAATGAAGTATATAGTAGGTGTATGCCAATATTCAGCTTTCGGTGAATTTTTACATTATGTTCGAACTTGGTTCGTATTATCAACCGTACAGATATAACACCGCCGCATCGTACATAACAACCACCTTAAATCTTATGGTAATGAATAGAAAAAAAAATTTAAAAAAAGTATATTATGTAAAAACAAAGGGCTAACATTTTTCTTATAGGCATTTTAGTTTAAAACTATACATTTTGGCTAAAAAAAAATTTAAAAAAAATTTAAAAAAGTTTACTTAAAACTACCACGCTTAAATTGTAGTGATTACAATATTATATTCTTATAGTAAATTTTACGGTCTTTAATTTTGGTCCTATACTTTTTTGTCGTGAGTTCAATGGTTAACGAGTTATAAGGAAAATAGTGGGAGGGTAGATTTCACCCCTTTTTGGGAGGGTGGAGAGATACGCACAGGGGTTAGGCGTCAGGACTTTTAGTATGTCAATTGGGAAGGTACATTTTAAGTGTGTACCAAAATTAAGTTGGGGGCGAATTTTTTCCGATCTTTTTCCTAATTTGACTGGACTAAAAATTTGATTTGACTTTCTTATACACATTTTTTTTTTGATAAATGTAGTTAGTCTTATAAGGAATCTTGTATTACATTTTAAAATCTAAGATTTAAAAAGAAAAATTTATACAAATTCTTAACTCAAAATAATTTGCTAATTTTCTTGATTTTTCCATATTTTGTCAATTTTTTAACGTAATTTTTTTTGAGTAAAAATTCCAGTTTTTCCTTAATTTTTATTTTGTTTTTCCAGGCCCTTTTGAAAACTGTTGGGAATTTTAAATTTTTACCTCCCAAAAGTACCAACTAGATCCACTTTCCCATCGAAGAAGATACTGAAGTTAAAAATCGACTACTAATTATGTACACAGACACAAAAAAAAAAAAACACACATCATTGTAAAATCACTACATTCATCGTTCCACTCAGAATCTAAAATTATAAATATGAATTATAATATTTGAATTGGAATATTTTATTATTTTAGAGTTTAATACTTAAATTATACTACTATATTAGTAAATTATAATAATTATTAATGTAGGTTACTTATTCGTAGTTAAAATTAAAAATTTGAGCTGGTTGAGCTAAATGATATAGGTCTTCAATAATCAATTGTATTCACAAATTATCCAAACAGGTAATTATCTAGCATAATCATAATACAATTTATTAACTGAAATGTATTAACTTTGTGGTGGATATCAGTGGCGTATCTAGGAATTTTTTTTTGGGGGGGGGGGGCTGATCAGTTACAAAAAAAAAATAATAACTGCAAAATAAGTGATTAAAAAAACTATATTTAAAATTTTAAAACAATACATTATTATTTTAATCATATTGTTAATTTTAGTCGTCTAGCTTTTCCACTGTTCGAAAATTTATCTAGTACCATATCATCAGTAATATCTACATCTCTATGAATTGATAACATAGCTAGTCCTACAAGCCGTGATTCAGATGTGATGTTTCGAAGATAATTTTTCAATCTCCTTAATGTTGAAAAACTTCTCACTGCAGTTGCTGTTGAAACAGGAAGTATTGATAGTATCTTAAGAAGCTCATACACAGGGGCGTACTCAGGAATTTTCAATGGGGGGTTGAACATTTTGTTTTTTATCACGGGGACTTTGTCACCTCCTTTTTAAAAATATTAAATATAAACATGGTAATGTACTCTACAGAAAATAAATTTTCAAAAATGAAAAATGTTTATTTAAAGAACAAAATTCCGATTCCGATTGATTAACGTGTTCATGTTTTCTTTTAAGATTATTGTAGGGTTCAATGTACTTAGAACTTCCAGGCACACTAGTAAAAAATGTTGTTATTTTATTTTTATTTTTATTTTTTGACTTTAAGCGTTTATAGAAAAAGAATAAATACTTAAATTTTAATACTATCATTAATATTTTTCAAAAGTATATAAAATTACTATACATTTTAATAATTTATCTGTGTGAAATAGTACATGTATTTTTAGTATATACCTAATTTAGAAAAAACAATTAATAATTTTGATTAAGGGGGCCTTGACAGTTTTATATTAAATTTAGGGAGCCTCATGACAAAAAAAATTGAGAAGTACTGTACTAGATTGTAGTGTAAAATATCTAAATATAATAAATATAACTAGCTGTCCCGGTAAAAGATCATGTTTTTAATGTTGCATTTCAATTTGAAAACTACATATACATTTTTCACTGTTTATTTTTCTAACATAATTTATATTTATTGAAGAAATATATAAACAAATTTTTTGACAAAGGTTGGTTGCTCAATACACAGTCAAATATTAACCAAATATATCATAACGCATTAGGTATGTAAAAACAAGAATGATATTCACTTACAAAAGAAAAAAATGAGCAATATGCTAAAAACAAGAAAACACCAAAAAAACTAAACAATTTTTCAAAATTAATTTGAAGTTTATAAGATAACTATTATTGAATAATATTATAACATAAATAATACACCTAATCATAAAATAAAATATGCAAAATATTTTAAACATGTTTTTAGAGTTTTTTATGAGCACTAGAAAATAATACTCCACTCTACCAGACTACTATTAGAATTAGGAGTAGAATCATAATAGTTTTAATTTAATTTAAAGATTTTAAGAAGGATGCAAATATCCAAAGAATGTGACTAAATTATACATCATATTTTTTCTAATTGATGTCTACTCGATAAAAATATTGGCAATAAATAAAATGCAAATGTAATGTATAATTACAGGCTCCAAGTTTATTATGCCAACTCAATTAAAAAACAAAAACTTTTTATGATTCAATGTTTTTGTAAATACTGACTTCAATTTTAAAAAATATTAGCATTTTAATTCTGAACAAAAACAAGTGTTACACTTAAGTTATGTTTACACGATGATAGTAAAGTTGCTCTCGTGATAGTCGTTATTATTTTAAGAATGATAACAATGTGAATATTCAATATGATAATTGATAATATCGATACTGACAGACATGACGTTATACACGTTTTGTGTCTTTGTGATATTGCTTGAATATGGAAACAACGTAATACTATGTCGCATTGCCGTATAGTGCCTATGTATTTTATATTATTTTATAAATAATAATTTAAGATTTTCTGACATTTCGGGGGGGGGGGGGGATACGCCACTGGTGGATATTTTTCTTTTATTCTTCATATACACCATTGACTGTCAGTAAGTCTAGTCAACCCTAGTTCAGTAATCTAGTGACAGACATTTTAGATACTTCAAAATATATTTTTTCGCTATCCCGAGGGGAAGAGATTGTGATATATTTTTCTCTAGTTAAGCCAACTTGGTCAGAAGTAGTGACCACCTGTGATCCTGTTCAAAATCACTGCCAGTTTAGCCCACTTGGCCGTTCTTTAGTTGTGGTTTTTTAACTTGAAAAAATGCCTAGAAATT